TCAACGAACCTATCTGCCTCTGTGGTTGAAGTAATCATTTGTGACTGTGGGTGACATTTGGCTGTTCTCATCTGCACATTGATTAAAAATCCAAAATTGCCACATTGCCCCGCTTATCACATATTCAACAAAGGCCCAAAAAAAATACATTTTTAGTCGTTATGCATGGGAACGAACGAAATCGATTAATTAATCGATTAAAGGGTGGCGATTAATCGGGTTACATTTCTAATCGACACCCAACCCTAGTTCTGCTGCAGTTGCAGGAGCGTGACGGTCTCGCCCAACTCTCGCGGGCTTCCCTACTCCGTCCTCGCGTGCCTCGATCTTCGCTTCTTGGGAAATGTCAGAGAAAGTTTCGTAAGCATGGCGTAGCGACTGATGCGCCAGACGTGTATACAAACGCAGCGCGCGAGCAAAGTGCATATATTCCTTCTGCCGGCAGCGACAGAAGGAATATGCGCAAGGCGTTACGCAACCCAGTTTCGTAAATGTGCAAAGGGTGTGACGTTCGATGTTCCCCCGGCCTGTCGGAGGATGTAGGCGGGCCAGACGGGGAGGTGCATCAGAATAAAATAGCACTCTGCCGCTACTAGACAGTCCCTGCCTCACTCGGCAGTAACATTCTGACCGCCGTGGATGCAAACCAGATCGTAAAAAAACTGAAACAATGAGCAAATTAAAAAAAAAAAAAATCGGGCGCGAAATTTATGACGCCTTTTCTCCCAAATCGCACGGCAACGATGTCGGTGTCAGCAACCCTTCGCTATCGCCCTCTGATAAGGCGTATATCCGCAATGAGCGAGTCATCTGTTGAAATAATCATTTGTGACCGGTTTTTTTTTTGTTTTTTTTTATTCTTGTTTTTAAACTTTTTTTTTTTTTTGCGTGATTTTAAAGTAGAAATTTAGTTGAAAGTACGCCATGTCCTGTTAGTATATACTTCCTTCTGTCCCTTTTTAGGCGTTTTACTTCGAAAACGTACAACCAATTCCCAACTTGCAGTCTTAAAATCTTTCAGGCTCGCATTGCTCGTCCTTGCGTTGTCTCGTGTGTGTGTGTTCACGAGCGGCTCCTGGCCGAGGAGAGAAGAGGACGGACCCAATGCCCCTGAACAAAAAGGTGGCGACATCTTCTCCCTCCTTCTCTGACGCGCACACCTTTTATCTTTTTCTTTTTTTTTTTTCTTTTTACACCCGCGTCGACGGTAGCGCCGCCTGGTTTGGCCTACGGCAGTGCCTTCATGTGCGCTTCGAAGCACATGAAGGCTCCCTAGTTTGGCCCAAGATCGTGACCAAGATCACTCTTCAAAGGATGTCGCGACTTTTCCGTATAAAGGGGCTTTAGACGGACCAAGTACACAAGAATGAGTCGGTCTTTCGTCCAACTGTCCATAGATGTTTTGGTGGCTCCCTCGTATCATTACCTCTCGTGACGTCATTACCTTGCGAACAACAAGTTCGATGCTGTTTCTAATGAGCGTGGTGGAAGCTTGAAATTATAGCTCTCTGAATCCAACACCGCGAACACCGTCAAAATTGAAGTTCATACATTCATGTTATTTCCGTCGATGAGAAATCCTTTGCTGGCGTCATAGACACCATCCGGCCAATCGTTGAAGGGCGACCACAGTGACGCTTTCGATCGCGCACGTCGCGAATCGGCACAGCCGAGTGATGCAGAGCTTTCCAATGTTTACGAAATCACAGTCCAGCGTGCGATCTTCACAGCCCAGCACGTGCATGTTCCTCGCTTCGGAAAGCGAGCAAAGCACGCACCATACGCACGAAAACTCAAAAAGGCACCCGCCACACGCTTTCTTTTTTTGGAAATGTCTATAGTGTTTTACTGGCACGCGCGACGAAATTTGCAAAATAAACACAGCGTCCAGACGCTTTTTTTTAACGTTTTGTATTTACTGTTATACAACACTGCCAAAGCTACTGGTAGAAGCCTCCGACTTCATTTTGCGTTTCATCTGAGCGCGCTTTCGTGCCAGCTTTGACAGCGTTGTACAGAACGTATGAACGGGAAAACAATAATTTCCAGGACACAGTTTCGAGGAAATGGTTTCAACGAATGCATAAAAATGTATACGGTGTCTGGCGAGCTTGGCACGTGCGCGTGAAGCCAAAACGAGTAGGAAGGCAGCGAGCGCGCGCTAGAAGCCGGGCATTACCTTACATGGGTAAATCACTTCCAAAATGTAATTTAATTACAATTACTCTGCTTCAAAGTAGTTTAACTACAATTACAATTACTACTACATGAAAAGCAATTAATTACAATTACCCATTACTTTTCAAAATTAATGCAATTACTTTACAATTACTTATTTCTGAGAGCGACCCGACCTGGGCCATATAACTTTAAACGAATTGTACAGAATGCAATGTATTTGTTCATTTCTTACTTCAATGTTCACGTATTGTACTTTCTTTTTATGAATTACGTTAAATTCATGATAAAACTTTACCGTATGGGGCAATGAAGCATTACGTTCTTACATTTTTAATAAATAATAATAAATTACTTCATATGATGAAGACGCCAGATCGCTAAAGAAAAATTCGGTTACAAGACTTTTGTTAGCCAGGCAAATAGAAATGCGACAATGAGTCATATAGGAATATTTTACAAGTGTTAATATAAAAGTAAAATCCACACGCGCTAATAAGACCCCATTCCCATAAAAACATCATGGTATTGTAAATTATTTACATTGAGTTGAAGTTATAATGGCTCAGAAATATGTATGCATTGAATCCGGGTTCCCGAATTGTTGGTGAAAATATTCCCAGGTGCGAGGTCAGCCTCCAGATTGCTTATGCAAATAATATACGAAGTAAAACCACCAGGAAATAAACTTAAAACAATACAAAGATACGCATATGTGACAATACTGGAAGAGGAACGTAAAAAAAAACTGGCAAAAAAGAAAGAAACTTCAGGTTTTTTTTTTAATTAAACAATTAAAACTCCCTACCTCGGCTGAACCTCAAATTTTTCTTTCGATATTTTGGCATGTTTATTGTTTTCTTTTGCACCTCAGACGGCGCTACACGGCGCCGCTGAGATAGGCTCCAAAGAGGATTGTCTCTAAGCCCTCAGTGTAAGCAACAAAACAACCAACAATGCAACGCTATTTATGTTGTGTGTGAGTTTGCGTCTGTGTGTTTCACCGAGAGCTATACCACTTGTGCAAACGCTTAGGCTTTCAGAGAGGTTCCGTCGGTGCCGCAAAGTTTTGCAAAAGTAGTTGTAATTGTACCTGAAATTTTGCAATTACTGACGCTAGAAAGTAATTAAGTTACAATTAGGTTTAACCAATTACCAAGAAAAGTAATTCAATTACTACCCAAGTAGGCCGGGCAATGGTAAAAAGGCCCTTCTTTCTCATCCAGCGGCGGCAGCACGAACCGGCAATGTTCGCGCCCAGAGTGTCGAACAGTGTTGAACGCTCGCGAACCCGTCTCTAGTTCGCGTGGGTCGGCAACCGCAAAAGCGCAGTCGCTATTCAAAGTTGGCGGCTGCCGGGGAATCCCATAGAACATTCCGAACACGCGCGTTCGAAAGCAGCATCGAGGAAAGTTGTCGTGTTGGGGTCGTCGCACTACGCGCGAGGAATATGCGCTACCGCCGCCGTCTTGCCCTAGCCTCGCGGTAAAGAAGCTTGCACGCGCGCTTGTGCGGGGCAGCAAACCCCTCCGAGTCGACGCCGGACAAGGAGTGATGCCCGCATTCCTACGAACGGGGAGGCACGAGCAGGAGCGCTCGACTGGATGCCGCCGATATTATTCGTCCGTCGGTGCGCGAGAATCTTAATTGCACTTTCTTCTTCCTTTTTATCGGAATACTGCTTGGAAGCTGACAAGCGGGACTTTTTGTTTTATGATTATTATTATTATTTTAAACGAGCCGTAAAGCTCCAAAGTCGCCTTCACCTGTTGCAATTACAAAACACGCACACACACTCTCTCTCGCTTCCGGGTAAAGAGGAAAAACAGGATAAACGGAACGACCACATTCAAGGACGATTAAGCCATCGACAGTTTTAAAGAGCGCGCGCTAAAGGAGCCACATTAATGTGCGCGATTACAGGACCGAAACAAAAATTAAGCGAAGTTCAAATTAGCAGCTAACACATTTTTCAACGTTCGCGAAAAGCCTAACAAGCTTTCTTTTCTTAAAAAAAAAACAAAAAAACAGGTATACATTTTTTTTTTTTTTAGATGGTTAGGAAACATTACAATTTGAAGACTAAAACATCGAAAATAATGGACAACACGATACAAAATCTTAAATGTTGTCGTCGTTGCCCGGCCGCTGTTTCATTTTCCTTGTCTCAGGTGTTCAGACAGCGAAGATTCTCACTTCGCCAAGTATCACTTGGGCGTAATGTTACTCGAGACAGACAAGCGCGCCGTCGGGCACTCTCCGGTTTCTCCGAGTAAACACTGGGGAATGCGCGTCCAAAACTCGATTGCGCGCTCGGACGGACGTCCGCCGGGGCAGGAAACGCTGCGCAATCCCTAGGCAACGCAAAGAAGGCGTTGTCCCCGCGACCTCGCCGCATTCTGAAAGCTACTATCGCGCATTTCAACCCGCTGGCCCGTTATCGTCCGCAGCAATATAGCGGCAGGCCCGAAACTGCATACCCTGCGCCCGGACTCTGGAGTGAAAGAGAGCTCCCGTCGAACAAAAAAAACAGACGCGTGTGTCGCGAAGCCGTGGCAGGAGATGCCCGAGTATGCCACCGCCGGTGTTCTCGCGTCGAAAGCGCGTCGAGATCGGCCAAAACCAGCGCGGCAGACGGAGTCGTCGACGGGCCGAAGCTGCCCAACACCGAAACTTGACAGGTGCGTCCTCGGAGCGCAGCGAGACGAGACGCATGTCGTCTGCAAAGACTCGAGCAATTTCGGCCCCGAGAACGCCAACCCAGAGGCCAGACGCGTATCCTACGCGGCCCGGAATGATCGTGGAAAGTTTGTCTCGCTTACTTGGGTGCACTTCCTCGACTTCGTCCTGCTTCGACGGGGAAAATGTGATAGGAATAGTCCACAGTTCGAAACCTTCAGCCTCCAAAACGCCATGTTATGAATGACACTCCCCTTCCCTAGATGGCGCGAGATGGCCGCTGCCTAGCCTCGACACCAGAGAGGCCGAAACGGAGCCTTTTTGTTTCTTTTTCTTATTTATCTTTTACAATTAAGATTAAAACAAACATTTGTGTCAAAGAAAATGCTAATATTAAGTATACAGTCGTTTTGGGTTGTATAGCGGAACTCGGTCTCGCCGATGTTAGGAGCAGTTCCACGAGAACTGACGCGCGAAAATTCAAACTCCGTGTTGGGCTCCCAAACACGAGAAGAATGAAATGACATCATCCACAAAGTTCAGCAGCCCGCAAAGTAGTTTACACTTTTACCATAACCCCCTCAAAGTATATAGGTCTGGAAACGTTCTTGTTTTCTATACAACAGCAGTTCAAGGAGTTCAAATTAGGCCAAGTGCTCGTGCAGTTCACTGCACTTCGGTAAGTAAATAGGGGCCAAACAAATTGAACAAATTCCAAAAACGCTTTGCGAAGTTTTTTTTTTTTTAATTTTGGGTTTTTTGGAGCATTTCTTTGTGGCATACAGAATCAGGGGCGGACTTAGAAAGGGGGGGGGGGGGGGGGGGGGGGTCCGGATGTCCTGACACCCTCTTGATTTCTGCTTGTGTAAATTTTAGGGCGTAAAACGAAGGAGAGGAGGAGGGGGTTCCTAAACGTATGGTACGCTGACCAGCACCTGACCCCCCCCCCCCCCCCCCCCCCGCAGGAAATTCCTGCATCCGCCCCTGTACGGAATTTATGGTTTTTCGGAGCCTTTCTTATCGGCACATGGAATTTGGGGTTTTTCGGAGTGTTTGTTTATTAACTTTTTATTGTAAACGAAATTCAGTTTTTTGTTGTTGTCGTTGTTGTTCTTTTAGGATTTCAGCGTGATATTGATTAGTTATAGAGATAATGTTGAACCCTGTTGAATTGACCTGAGATGGGGTAGTGAAGAAACATCAAGACGTAGAAGAGACAAAAAGTTTACGTGTTGCAACTACAAAACAAAACACACACACACACACTTTCTCTCTCTCCCTCTTGCGGGGAAAGAAAATAAAACAGGATAAACCCAACGCCTCCTCTACGTTTTGATGCTTCTTCTCAACCACAGTCTCAGGTTGATTCAACATGCTTAATATCCACCAGCTCGCTGTACCCTTACCATATTTTTATTTAATGTTGAAGTACAGAAATACAAGGCAATCAACTACGGATACACTTTTATTACACAGTCAATATTTTCAACATTAGCAGTGGCATTCCTGACTTTTTACTACTTGTAAATACGAGCATATTTTCCCATGTTGCACTCCCTCACTGCAGCGCGCACCTTTCGACTTGAAACGCGAAACACGGAGAATGCTCTTTCCATATTCGCGCTGGATAAGGGAAATCCCAGGAGGTACAGTACACAGCGTGAAAAGATGGGCCACTCTTTTGCATGCCATCTTCAGAACATTAGCGGTCCAACGGTATCCTTCACAGTGTAGCCTTGATATGCACAGAACTCTTTTTTGAACTGGGTAAAGTTATGCCCGTGTGGCGTGACGAGAGGAAACAAATGCTCGTACGTCTCGAACGTTCGAAGCAGTCGTGCTTTCACGTTCGGATTAACGATTTGCCAAAATGAGCCGTGGGTATATTGCAGGCCGTTCGGATTATTTCGCTTGACAGCACGACTCCACTTGTCGGCTACAGCACTGTACTATTGGCGAAAGGTGTCAACGCGGTGTGACAGCGCTCCATCTCGTAAACCATGTCGAGCATGCAATCTACTTCCCCTCCAAAACTCATCATTGAGGCGTTGGTCCATTGACCCAACAGTGCCCTCAGGCGCACAACAAGCACAGGGTACACAGCAAGTAGAGGATACACTTTATGCACCAATGTCGATCCAGCTTCTGATTGCTTGAGTATGAACAGCACTTCGTTCGAGGTCTTCTTTGGGATCTTGAGCTAAATAAGCAAGTCATGCAGAGAGCTAGATGTTATCATCATCACAATTGCTTTCGGTTTTTCACACTTCTCTTTTGCCCCACCACTCTCCATAGATGCTATAGCGCGCCAGTATGCTCATGCCGGCGCAGATGGAACCAAACTGACGGCGAAGTTCTCTTGAGCTCGCAGGGGGGTGAACTATGGTCATAGCTTCAGTCTGTACACTGATCACCAACCTCTGCACGGTGGGCATTCTAGGACAGCTAGGACAAATCAATTCCAAAGCTAGCAGCGGCAAGAATCCAAAGATGGGCTGTAACACTTTCCGCATATCACTACAAGCTCAAGTTCTGGAACGGCCACAACATGCAAGTTTCGGGTGGAGAAAAAAAGAACACATGCATACTTTTTTTTTTTTTTTTACCGTGATATAAGTAATAAAAACCTCGAACGTTTTCAAGAAGAGATCACCATGGCAAACTGGAGCCCGGTTTTGACTGCGGCATCGGCTGACGAGGCATATGAGAGCTTTCTTGCAATTGTTTTTGATAGTTATGATCGGATTTTTAAGTACAAAAGGCATATAGCTCCCAAGAAGTGTAGGAAACCATGGGTAACATCAGATATATTAAAAATGATGAAGAAAATATATGTTATTTATAGGATATTTATGCGTCCTAAAGTTCTAGCTGTTTTATCAAGTTTAAAAAGAATAAGATAAGAAATGAGCTACGACGAGCAAAAAGAATGTACTATTACTCGATGTTTCAAAATGAGACCAGAACGGACATTTTGTGGGAAAAAAAATGAGCTCGGTACGGCATGAAGGCCGTAAAGTGGAAACAATCTCTGAACATACAGTTGATGGTGAAATTAAGAAAGGCAAAGCTCTTGCAAACCTGTTTACTGACTATTTTGTAGGTTTAAAAAATAGTGTTCACTCAATTGAAGCTTCAAGATACGTTAAAGGTATTTCAGACAGCCTCTTTTTATTCCCAACCGATGGGGAGGAAGTCACTTCAATTTTAAGTGCTTGAAAAACAGTAGAAGTGCTGACATATATGACATACAAATGAAGCCAGTTAAATATGTCATTGAGTTTGTTGCTTCTATTTTGACTCGTATATTTAACCTCTCACTTCAAACTGGCGTTTTTTTCAAGTAAAATGCAGAAGGCCAAGGTTTCACTAATTTATAAAGCGGGTGTTAGAAATGATCTTGGTAATTACAAGCCTGTCCCAAAATTGCCTTTTTTCCGAAAGGCCTGGAAAAAAAAACATTTATAAACGACTATATATTTTCCGTGAAAAACACTCCATTCTCACTCCCCACCCATATGGGTTTCGGAAAGGATGTCTGACCGAGTTAGCCCTGTTCGTTCAAAAAGAGATGATTCTAAACAATAGTGAAAATAAGCTCCTTACATTAGCAATCTTTATTGACTTTTCAAAGACGTTCGATCGTTTAAATCACCAGACCTTGCTACAAAAATTACAGCTTTATGGTATAAGGGGTATTGCCCTAAAACTATTTGAGAGCTACTTGAAATTCCGTCACCAAAGTGTCAGTATAGAAAAATGCCGCTCTGACTTTAGAAAACAAAATGCAGGCGTTCCACAAGGCACTATTTTAGGACCCTTTCTTTTTAATATATATGAATGGCATAAATATTACTAGTAAAGCAAGCATGATAATTTATTCAGATGACACCTCCATATTTTTTTCAGGATTCGACATTCTTGAAATTATAGAAACAGGTAATTTATTTCTTGAAAAACTTAATGTGGTGGCAACTTTAAATTCGTTAATTATAAACAGTAATAATACAAAGGCTGTAGTTTTTAGGTCGTAGGGAGTAAAAGTTGTCGACAATCAAGCTCTCACTTTCGGCTCATACAGCATTGAAATCGTACAAAATGTCAAGACGCTTTGTTTAATTTTCAGTGAATACATGAGCTGGGACGAAATAACGAATATGATAGCTAAAAAATTATCAAAGGTTGTAGGTACAATTTATAAGTATAAAAGAGCATTTCCCTCTTTGTGGTATGAGTTCTTTGTAACTCTTTGTTTTATGCTGCTTTTAATTACTGTTTTTCGCATGGAGTTATACAATTGTTACAAATATTCATTGTCTTCATGTATTACAGAAAAATGTAATTCGAATTCTAACCAATCAAAGATATGACAGCCATACGGCACTTCTCTTTGAAAAATTATGTGTTGAAATAACAATTTTTTCTTAAAGAGTACTTCATATGCCATCTGTGATGCCGGTGCCCAGACTTTCCCGCGCTCCAGATATATATATATATATATATATATATATATATATATATATATATATATATATATATATATATATATATATATATATATATATATATCAGTGTGTCGAACCGAAAAAAATACGGGTTCGGTTACGGTTCAGGTTCAGGTAAATTTATTTTGTTCCGGTTCAGTTCCGGTTCGATTAATTTGATCCGCGAACCGGTTCGGGGCGCTGAACCGGTTCGCGAACCGGTTCGGAAATTATAAATGACAAATTGCAACATCAAAATAAATTACAAATAAAACATCTGAAATCAGCACATACGAAACGGGATACATCGTAGTGTAAGGCTCAGGGATTTCTACCAGAAATGGTTTCTTTATGTGCACTCAAAGGTTACCTCACCGACGTTTACGCATTCAGACTTCATCTAATTGGGTCCGACGCAGTAGCTGTAAAATCCGCGACCTCCTTACAAACCCACTTACAAGTAGAACTCGCTAGCTATCCCGCCACCTCGGCGTGTAAGCAATTGAAGGAACAGTGGGGAGAAAATACAGCTTTCTTTATTTGAACTAGCCTTCGGTAACTCAAATTAGACCCTTAAAGAAGTTTTCATTAAACAAGATACGGAATATGAAAAACACTTCACCGAACGCAACGCCAGAAGGACGTAATAGGATGAATATTAAAATAGAAAAGTTCGCTGTCTCACAAATATGTTAGCTTCTAAGTGCCTTTACGAAACCGGATGCATTATTATCAAACTCCACAGCCTTTTCTTTTCTCATTCCGATGGAAGCAAGCTTCAAGAAC